TTAAGATTATGAATTTCACTTAAAAGTTGAGCAGTGAAAATCGTGTTAATAATATAATAATATTCGGGGCGTTACACCGTGAGCTCGGCTATCTGATGGGCCATCATGTCTCGTGTAACGCCCCAAATCAGTAATAATATTAAGAACGATTTCACGGTTCGACTATAAGTGATATCCGTAATTTTCAGAAATTTCGCGTTATATTATATATGCTAAATTCTCAATTAATTCCTAAGTTTGATTGATCATCCTTTGGAATTCTCTATATTAAGTATATGTCAAGATCAATCCATTAATTTGGATTGTTAAAATTATAGCAAATCGACTCGAGAAATTATTGGTTTCGAACCCTAGTTTGGTTCCGATTATTTTTCAAGTTATTTTCCGAGCATAGCCAAGTCTTGGTATTTTAATACTTAGAATAATTTCTAAGTGTGTGGGAATACCAAAGTTCAAGTCTTGGATTTTTAAATCGAGCCCTAACCCACCCGAGCCACTCGCGCCCAAGGGCGAGTCCACCGAGCCCAAGGCCTTAGCTAAGCCTTAGTATCATTTGTTAAATTTTTCTAAGTGTTGAGGAACTCAACCAAGTCTCATTTCAGCCCATATCCTCAGCACAAGTCAAACCCCACGCGCAGCCCACGTAGCCCGCGCAGCCCCGCGCTTAGCCAGCAGGCCCCTCGTGCCCAGGCCCAGTGCCGCGCCCGTGCCCAGTGCCCAACGCCCAGGCCCAGCGCTGGCAGCACGACAACCCATCTTCTTGAGCCCATTTCTGGTACTTTCGGCCCAAATCCTCCATGAGCCAAGACTTGCATGTTTAGGGGACTTAATGAGGATTGTTTTGAGCTAATATGGCCCTAAAAAAGTATTAAGGAAGTCAGCTTAGCACTAGCTCAAAGTGGAGTGTGGGCAAACCATTATTTTAATACCTTTGTGTAAGACTTTGTCCCCTATAGTACTAGTGCCTTGAATCTGCGACCAGACCTGCTCTATTTGACCAAGATGCTCTGAAAAACCTGCCATTCCACCCAAGAAAAACGTACAAGACCTCAGCCCTAAGACCACATGGATGGAGAGTGCATTTTCCCACTTAAATGGTCTCCTTTGACCATACCTAGCAACCTCCGCCCCTTTGCTCTATTTAAGGCTCACTCTTCAGCCATTTTGAGCTCTTAACACTTAGAATACTCGCACATATTGAGGGGATTGAAGGAAAAACCGAGAGCTACGCCAAGCCACTCCACACGCGCGCGCGAGGCTGAGAAGGGAGTCTACCGAGCTGCAGCAAGTTCCAGCCATATTCCACCGAGGCTCAACCACTTCACATCGTTCCTTGGATTAATCTAAGACTTCTCATCCTCCAAGGTTCAGCCAATTTTGCCCCAAGCCAAGTCCTAGCCTTCCAAGCCACGTGTGAGCCCGTGCAAGCCCTAGCAACCATTTTTCCACTTTCGGTGAAGGTTAGCTCGACCTATCTTTTTCCCTCTGCCCATTTATGATATTTTAGGATTTTTCATGTAGAAAAACCAAGCCATGCACGTTAAAAATCATGAGTTCTGAATTTTAAGAATAAATGGCCTTAAAAATAAAATTTGAGTTGCATGCACGCCTAAGCCGAAATTGATAGCTCAATCACCCTCATTTATTATTTCATTGACGTTGTAAAAGTTTGAGCATGATTAGAGTTCATTACCTTGGCCATTTTGTTCATGAAAATGTGCTATTTTGAACCCCCGAGCCTTACCTTCATGCATGTAAGTTATGACCCATGTCTTAGCCCTTATAGTCATAATTTTTGATGTTAAACATTCGGCCCCGAGTGATTTTATAAGTTGTGAATGTTGGTTCGGAGAGTTGGTACTCGTATGTGCCATTTAGGCCCTACCGAGTAACATGCATATAGACCCAAGGTCTCTCAGGGTTTCTCAGCATTTTTATAAATATTTCATCATATTATGTTCATAAACATTGCATGTCACTAGAAAAGTTGATAAAAAGTTGGCATGGGTCCGTCACGGTCACTAGTCGCGCATACCGTGCGCGCAGTGCCGACCCGCGCATGCCCGCAGCGCCTACCGCGCCAGCCAGGGCCGCTGCTCGTGGGCTGACCCGAGCAGGGTCAGCTGAGCCCAGTCGGCCTCGGGGCGTGTCCAGCAGCACGCCCGAGAGCCCAGTGACCTCGGGGACGGCCAGTAGCGCCCGTGTGGCCTCTGCCCGTGTCTGTCCCGCGTCTGCCCTAGCCCAGCCGGCCCGGGACGTGCCCAGCAGCACGCCCGCGTGCCCAGAACCCTCCAGGGCGCCCGGCAGCGCCCGCGTAGCCTCTGACCCGTGTCAGTCCGCGCCGTGCCGTGCCCAGTGCATGCCAGCGCGCCCCAGCAATCCTTAGCCGTGCCCAGCGAGCCTCAGCTCATGCCCAGTGACCCTCAGGCCGTGCCCAGCGTGCACCCGAGAGGCACCAGCCGTGCCAGGTCAGAGGACTCTAGACTAAGTCAGAACTCTAGACAGAACTCTAGAACAGTTAAGTCCAAGGACTCTAGACTAAGTCAGAACTCCATTACGAGCCAGAACATAAAAAGTTTAAGTATATCGGATCTCTAGCCAAGCTAGGTGTTTTCGGACATTTATTATTTATTTTATTGTTTTAAGTCTAGTATGGCTATTTCTTAATTGGCTATACTGATCAATTCAAGTATAATTGAATCTTTACAATGCCGCCGCGTAGAGATCCCCAGGCACCAGTTGAGCAGGACTAGGCTGTTGTGGTCAGCCGATTCCGTACCTATGATCTGCCCCGTTTCACTGGGGAGAGTGGTCCGTTAGCCGTGGCTGAGTGGATCCGGATGATGGAGAGGATCTTCCGTATTATGGGGATTTTCGATGCACACAAGATGGCGTGCGCCGAACTGCAGATAGAAGGAGCCGCCGGATACTGGTGGGAGGATTACTGGCGTCTACGCACTGAGGATGAGCGTGACGCTATGAGATGGTCTCAGTTTAAGACGATATTGGAGGACAAGTGCTACCCTCGCCATTTCAAGCAGAGGATGGCACGGGAGTGTGCCGCTCTCCAGCAGGGTTAGCGTTCAGTGGACGAGTACGAGCACGAGTTCGCTCATAAGAGTGCCTTTGCTTCGCATCTTGTTGATACGGAGGAGAAGAAGGGGACACAGTTCCTCGATGGTTTGAGGAGCAACATCCGACTCTTGATCACCAGCAATGGCTTCCTTGACTACGCCGAGACTGTTGAGCGTGCTCAGCAGATTGAGGCGTGCATTCAGAGAGACGCCCGTGCCCCAGCCACCAGCGAGACAGCCAGCCACCAGCGAGACAGCCAGCCACCATCCCGCCACCCCAGCCAGCTCAGCAGACGAACAAGAGAAAGTGGGAGGATCACAAGGATAAGAGGAACCGTAGACAGAGGTGCCCAGCTCAGGCGGGCCAGCCAGCCCAATAGGACCTGCCGGCATGCGCTACCTGCGGACATCCGCACCGCTGGGAGTGTCTTGTCGGGCAGGATATATGCTACCTTTGCCGCCGCCCAGGACACCGGATCAGAGACTGCCCAGACCGCCCTCAGCCATAGCAGGGCCAAAGACCGCCAGCTCAGAGACAGCCAGCACCCAGACAGCCAGCCCAGAGACCCCCAGGACAGCAGCAACACCGTGGAGCACCCGCTCATATTTACGCACTCGACCAGGAGCAGGCCACAGAGCAACCAGGTACTATGTCTGGCATGTTATCATTGTTCCATACTCCAGTCTTCGTTTGATTCGATACCGAGGCGACACATTCGTTCGTCTCGACCAAGTGCTTATCTGCCTTAGGAGCCCAGGGAGTGAGTACTGTCGACCCTCTCGAGATCAGTCTCGCATCGGGAAGGAAGATAGTTACGAGTTCCCTGGTCAAGAACCTTAGCATTGATATCGGAGGCCGAACTCTAGTTGTAGATACGTTTGTGATCGATATGAATGACTTCGACTTGATTCTCGGCATGGATTGGTTGACGAGATACCGAGCAGACATCCGTTGTCACGACCGGTAGGTGACGCTACACTTATCAGAGGGAGACCGCATCACGTTCTTTGGGACGAAGTCTCGAACTTTACCGCGCGTTATTTCCATGGCAAAAGCGACAAAGTTCATGCAGCGAGAGGATTGTCAGGGATTTCTTGTCAATATCGTTGGAAAATCTTCGGAGAAGCTGCCTCCCGGAGATATTCCCATTGTTCGAGAGTTTGTGGACGTTTTTCCCGATCAGCTCCCGGGAGGACCACCTAACCGCCAAGTGGAGTTCACCATCGACTTGGTCCCCGGAGCAGGACCAGTGTCGAAAGCGCCGTATCGCATGGCGGCCGAAAGAGCTTCAGGAGTTGAAGGCTCAGATTCAGGAGCTGTTGAGTCTCGATTTCATCCGACCGAGCGTATCACCTTGGGGAGCACCTGTCCTCTTTGTCAAGAAGACGAATGGGTCTATGAGGATGTGCATCGACTACCGGGATTTGAACCGGTTGACAGTGAAGAACAAGTATCCGCTTCCCAGGATAGAGGATTTATTTGGTCAGCTGAGGGGAGCCAGTGTATTTTCCAAGATCGATCTCCGCTTCGGTTATCATCAGCTGAAGATCAGAGAGGCCGATGTGGCCAAGACCGCTTTCAGAACTAGATACGGTCATTATGAGTTCATTGTGATGCTGTTTGGCTTGAGCAATGCGCCAGCGGTATTCATGGATCTCATGAACCATGTCTTCTATCTATTCCTGGATCAGATTGTCACCGTCTTCATTGATTATATTCTGGTCTATTCCAGTAGCCCGGAGCAGCATGAGGAGCATTTGCGGACCGTTTGGAGACTCTTAGGCGTGAGAAGTTGTACGCCAAGTTCTCGAAGTGCGAATTTTGGCTCGATCGAGTGGCTTTCCTAAGCCACATTGTCACTTCTAGAGGGATTGAGGTAGACCCGACCAAGATTGAAGCAGTTCGGAACTGGTCGACGCCGAGAAATGCCACCGAGGTTCGGAGTTTTCTCGGTTTGGCAGGCTATTATTGACGCTTCATCGAAGGGTTTTCAAAGGTTGCCCTACCCTTATCACGCTTGACGAGGAAATCGGTGAAGTTTGAGTGGGATAGTCGTTGTGAGTCGAGCTTCAAGGAACTCAAAGCGAGGCTTATGACACACAGGGTTTCACTATCTATAGTGATGCCTCGAAGCAGGGTCTAGGCTGTGTTTTGATGCAAGACGGCAGGGTTGTGGCTTATGCTTCTCGTCAGCTAAAGCCGCACGAGGTGAACTACCCGACTCACGATCTTGAGTTGGCAGCAGTGGTTCACGCCCTGAAGATTTGGAGGCACTATCTGTACGGAGGCTATTGCGAGATTTACATAGACCACAAGAGCTTACAGTATATCTTCACCCAGAAGGAGCTCAACATGCACCAACGGCGATGGTTGGAGCTGGTGAAAGATTATGACTGTACCATTTACTATCATCCGGGCAAGGCGAACGTAGTTGCCGACGCCCTCAGCCGGAAGGGAAAGGGCGAACTGACCTGTATGATCACTCAGCAGCGTCAGTTGATTCATGAGTTCACTCGGATGCAACTAGAAGTGGTCGAATCACCTCCTAAGTTGCCAGTTGTGGGAGGTATTCGAACGATGAGAATGTGGCCAACGTTACGAGATAGGATCCAGAGGGATCAAGCCTTCGACGAGTTCATTCGCTCGATGGGGGCGAAGATTCATGCCGGAGGAGTTGAGAGTTTCTACCGAGGCACTGATGGTGCCTTGGAATACAAGGGAAGGATCGTTGTGCCGAATGTCGAGGCCTTGAAGAAGGAGATCTTGACTGAGGCGCATAGCGCTCTGTACTTGGCGCACCCCGGTAGCACCAAGATGTATCACGACCTGAAAAGGTCATTTTGGTAGAAGGGGATGAAGCGAGATGTCACCGAGTTTGTTGAGAAGTGTTTGATTTTCCAGCAAGTGAAGGCTGAGCACAAGGTTCCACCGGGTCTCTTACAGCCTTTAGAGATTCCGCAGTGGAAATGGGAGAAGCTGACCATGGACTTTGTAACGGGATTACCGATGTCGGCCAAGCGCCACGACGCAGTATGGGTAGTAGTGGATCGACTGACGAAGTCGGCCCATTTCATGCCTGTCAGGATGGACATGTCCATGGAGCAGCTAGCAGATACGTATCTCCAGGGAATCGTTCGACTCCACGGCGTTTCTGCCGAGATTATATCAGATCGAGATCCCAAGTTTACAGGCCATGGGGACGAAATTGAAGTTTAGCTCCGCATATCACCCACAGACCGACAGACAGTCGGAACGGACCATCCAGACGCTTGAGGACATGCTTCGAGCTTGTGTTCTAGAGCGTGGTGGTTCGTGGGAGGATTTGTTACCCACTGTGGAGTTTGCCTACAACAACAACTATCACTCGTCGATCAAGATGGCACCGTTTGAAGCTTTATACGGTCGCAAGTGCCGCTCACCCCTGTATTGGGATGAAGTTGGCGAGAAACAGGTTCTCGGTCCCAAGTTGATCGAGGACACGGTACAGAAGGTTGCCGAGATCCGAGCGAAGCTGAAAGAGGCACAGAGCCGACAGAAGGCCTACGCTAACAAGCGTAGAAGTGAGCTTGAGTTCGAGCAGGGAGACAAGGTATTCCTGAAGGTCACGCTGATGAAGGGCGTTGTACGATTCGAGAAGAGGGGGAAACGGCAGCCACGATTCATAGGGCCATTCGATATTCTCGAACGAGTTGGTGTAACAGCCTACCGTCTAAAGTTACCCCCAGAGCTCTCGGGTGTACACAACGTCTTCCATGTGTCGATGTTGAGAAAGTATGTATACGAGCCGTGCCACGTAGTGAACTTTGATGAGCTAGAGGTCAGGCAGAACCTGACGTACGATGAGCAACCGGTAGCAGTTTTGGACCGAAAGGTCCGTTGGCTGAGAAACAGAGATATAGAGCTTGTCAAAGTTTGCTGGAGTCGCCACGACAAGTCGAAAGCCACTTGAGAGAGAGAGGCCGAGATCAAAGCTCGTTATCCAGACTTCGAGTTTTGAGATTTTCCAGATGTATATATATGTACTTTTATTTTGTGTTCTGTACATAGTTTTGTAGTAGGAGTTCTGGCCTAGTACCTTAGTTTTGTATTTCCAAAGACGGAAATATTTTAAGGAGGATAGGTTGTAACGCCCCAAATCAGTAATAATATTAAGAACGGTTTCACGGCTCGACTATAAGTGATATCCATAATTTTCTTAAATTTCGAGTTATATTATATATGCTAAATGCTCAATTAATTCCTAAGTTTGATAGATCATCCTTTGGAATTCTCTATATTAAGTATAAGTCAAGATCAATCCATTAATTTGGATTGTTAAAATTATAGCAAATCAACTAGAGAAATTATTGGCTTCGAACCATAGTTTGGTTCCGATTATTTTCAAGTTATTTTCCGAGCATTGCCAAGTCTTGGTATTTTTATACTTATAATAATTTCTAAGTGTGTGGGAATACCAAAGTTCAAGTCTTGGATGTAACGCCCCACTTTTATTTGCCGAAAATCAGAATAAATTTTTCGAATTAATTTCAATATACTTGAGGCGCTACTCATCTTTCAAAACAAACTTCAATACTTATCCAATTTTTTTTTTCAATACCCAATCAATCATCATTATCGATAATCAGTCATCAATAATGCAATAATCAATAATGCAATATTCAATATTACCCAAACCGGGTTCCAAACAGTATTCGTAAGTCTTAAGAAGCATCTCCTTATCATTTTTCAATCATAAAATCCGGAAATTCATAAAACAATAGTATTCCAAATTCATACATGCGGAAGCATAAACAATAATAGGGCCAGTCTTATAGACCGACCACCACTCGCTTGATTCCGCCGTCGCACCTGCCTTGCTTAACCTGAAACGTGAATTTCAAGTGGGGATGAGCACAAGAGGAAAAAGTAGTGCTCACCACTATGCAGTAAACATTATTCACAATAATAAAACAATGATCAATAATCAATAAGGTATGGTCGCAGCATGTATACGAAAAAATCAATCATCCCAATCTCCCATCAATCATATCAATGATAGACTCATGTTCACACCTATAGCAATAGACTACTGCCGAACTACAGAACACCTTATCTAAGGCCTTACAACGAGTGTCCCGCCAGTAGGAGTATCCCGTCGGCCAAGGCCTCACCTTGGTCTTACCAACGGGGTTGTCCAGCACAGGGACCTTTAACCCAGGTCTTACGGCTCAAAATGTGTCCAGCACAGGGACCGTTAACCCAGGTCTTACAGCTCAAAATGTGTCCAGCACAGGGACCTTTAACCCAGGTCTTACGGCTCAAAATGGAGACTACACTACGGGTACGTTATATAGCTACGGGGATAACCGTTCGACGGCCGGTACAGCTCACATCGAAGGCTACATGGTTCACATGCATACATTGATCATACCAAATTTAAAACAGTAATAACATTTACAACATAGACAATTTTAAATAAAACCCACCTGGTAACTCAGTAGAGAAGTCACACAAACAGATCGGTAGGTCGAGGGCTCGAATCCTCAAACACCTACATTAAGTCTAGATGCTACAATTAACATCTATATCGACTTAAACGAAATTCACAATTATTCTTAGCCGAACTTGATTCGACTAAGTTGTTCGTGAAGTCCTGTGGACGTTGGAACACTTAGACTTGACATCTAGACTCAACCAATTACACATAGGAGTTCACATAATCCAAACATAAACATTGACCAAGTCAAACACTTAATGAAACAAATGACGAGTCGGTTTACAGTTTTTATTCTAAAAACCACATTTACGATTATACTAGTTTAAATCACAAAAATGAGTTGACCAGGTTGCCATACGAATTTACCTCTGAAATTTTAACCAAAATTTCACCTCCCAGAGTTAGGCAAAACCACAAATTTTCAGCCACAAAATCAAAGCATGCTCTTTTATAAAATTCGAGCAAGTTTTTCAACAAAAACAAGTCTAAATTAAAAACCTAAGAAAATGAACGATTCAGACCTTTATATTTTTATCTAAAGAACTTCAGCATATGAACAGCAGCATGTAAAAACATTAGCATTAAATACTTAGCATGTGAATTTATAAAATTAAAACAACAATCAGAAAATTTTCAAATTTACAACATAACAGAACTTAAATTAACTCCAAAAATTCCCATCTTTTAACAGAATGAGAATATACGTAAAATATGCAGTTCAACCAAGTTTCATAATTTTCCAGCAACATATCAATTTATTAAAATTAATTACAAATTTGCAGAATTCATCAAATAATTTTTACACATAATGAAGTCCGAAAATTCCAAATATTTTACAAGACCTATGAAACATACTGGGAGACAACATATCCAAATTTCATAAGTTTTGGAATACAACTAAATTTAATAGGTATTTAACAAGATTCTGCTCATAATTTCATACAATTATTAAAAATAGCTATACTTATCATTTAATTCCGAAATTTTTACACAACATGTATCTCCAGCTGAGGGACGAGCACACAAAATTTTACAGCAATACGAGCATCACAAAATTTATCATAATTTATCTACCAAATCAGCGACAATGCCAAATCAATAATTCATAACCGACTCGTTTTACGACGAATCCGTCTGAAGTCTTCGCTATAAGACTATGGACGACACAAGTTCCAGCCCACAGCGACTTAAACACGAAACGACGAGGTCTCGTTTGATTTCACCGAATCGACGAGTTTGTCTACGCATATAACTTATTATTTTCTAGCAATTTCAAACACATATATATTCTTATGAACACGAAAATCACATAAATACATTCACAAGTATTCAATGATCTCTTTCAACAATCAATAACACAACATAAACGAGACGAATAATTAAATGAGACGGGTCGAGCCTTGTACCGTTCTCGGGAATCGAACAAAAACGGAACGAACACGAGAGTCGACGGGCCCGAACGGACACACGGCTCGAATCGGCAACACACGGCCACGAGAGGACGACGAAGGCTCTGGGATTGCTGCTCACGGCTGCTAGGTCGCTGCAGGGGTCCTCGCCATCACTGTTGGTGGTCAGCTTGTGAACGGAAGGTCGCCGGAGGACAGCTAGTCGCGGCGGTGTAGTTGCTGCAGCGTCGTGAACAGGACTCGCCGGAATTCGCGAGGTTGCTGCGGTGGTGGCTCGTGGTCGTGGATGTTGTTGGACTTCGTCAGAAGTGGCCGTCGGGGTCGCCGCTGGTCCGTGGTGGTTCCCGGCGAGAGGGGCAGCGATGGAGTTCGGAGATGGTGGTGGTGCAATTGGATTATCACGTCGGCAGGGGATGACTGGCTCACGACGAACTGCTGCTCACGAACGGGAGGTCGCCGGCGGGATTCGCGAAGGTGCAGCAGCTCACGGGGATGGGGTTCTTCACGCAACAGGGTGACAAGCGGGGATGGTGATGAAAGTCGGTGATGGTGACGGGTAAAAAAAGAATTGCAGAGGGGAGAGGATCGGTGAGGGAATTGCGATGATGAGGGAATCGGTTAATGATGGTGACGGAACAAATTCAGATTTTCACGAGAGGGAGAAGAGGGTTCTGCGCGTACGAGTTGTGGGAAAAAAATAAAAGTTGTGGGATTGTTCTGATTTTGAGAGACCCGAACAAGGAAAATATATATAACATAATATTAGGTATAATGAGTCTTGATGCCCAAGAATTCTCAACATCACGCGCAAAACAGAGAAAAGAATCTGCTGGGCCAGGCCCAGTTTACGCATGGGCCGGATTCATCGGGCTCACTGGTTTCGGTTCAATAAAATGAATCGACTCTCGGGCCCCACTACGTAGAAATAATACGGTTTTTCGCTCTCAAAATAAATAAACTGGATATAGATATATACTTAAGGTACACATAATTAAAATTTTTAAAAGAATAATAATATTAGTAAAAATACAAATGCACAATTTAATAATTTATAATAATAGCATTTAGACATTTAGGCAATTAATTAATATTTGGACAGTTAAGCAATTTGACAAATAAATCATATTCCACAATTAACAATTTATAGCATTCAATAAATAATAATAATAATAACACATCAATATAAATAATAATAATAAACAATCCTCAAAAATTCCATAATTCAAACGGATTATATTCGGTTCACGCGATTGAACCGAAATCGCCGTACAACGAACGTTTTCCAATAAAACGGTCAAGTACTCCAACCTTATATTTAAGTCGACATCGTGACTAATAAAATAAATATAACCTTACAAATAATATTCGATAAATAGAATATCTCGAGAAATTCTATAAATCGAACGGGGCGCTACAATCTATTCTCCTTAAAATATTTCCGTCCTCGAAAATGCAAAAGAAACACGCATCTGAAAGAAAACGATAGACTCGCTCAGGAATTTCTAATCACGAGGTCTGGGCATCATCCTCCGGAACTCGATTCCATTCCCATGAGTCCTATCGCCTTATACTAAAAGGCATACACTCACATACATGAATTAATCCAACTCGCCCTATGCGCATATGTTTACCTTCTTGCTTGGGAGGGTGATCAGTCCTGCCCGAGCTCAGGTGTACATCTTCTTGCAAGGGACCCAGTTCGGTTAGCTTATACTCATGAGTATCAACAACTTGCTTTGTGTTTGTCCCATTTTTGTGCCTTTATTTCATGTTTATTTTCTTTTTGTTTTCCCACATTTGTAGGTTTTTCGTAGTTTATTTGGTCCATTTCGTTCGTTTTGTGTTTCTGCCTTTAGTTTATGTTCATGTGTCTTTTTGTCGAGTTTTTCTTCGTGTTTTTCCTTGTTTTTGTGTTTTCAGGAGGTAGGTTGTGCCAGTCGAGGTTGAGACTATTTGAGTCGGGACCATGATATCGAGATACCCGTTGTTGAGGCCAGAAGACTAAAGGAAGGCCAGAAAAACGGACAGAATCTGTTCCCAGAAATTCTCGCGACTCGCGAGTCGTCTCGCGACTCGGGTCGCGACTTACGAACATGTCGCGACCCGCGAGAAAAACTGGGACTAAAAGGCAGTTGCGAGTCGATGTCGCGACCCGCGAGAAGATCTCGCAACTCGCGAGATAGAGTCGCGACTCGCGACCCATGTCGCGACCTGCCCCAGAAAGTTATCATTTTGAAGACGCGCGACTCGCGAGGAAGTCGTGACTCGCGACCAAATAAAAGACCATCTCGCGACTCGCGACTTGAGTCGCGACTCGCGACTTGTCCGGCGCGTTTTTCGAGGAGCGGGATTTTTAATGCTGCTTTTGATCCTAGGTTTAGGATTACACATTCAGACTTCATTTTTACGTTCTCTCTGGAGAAAAACCGATTCATTTTCTTTCTTTCGCACTTTTGAATTGTTTGGGGAGATTGACAACTCCTATTTCTTGCTTTGGATTTGGTTGCACTTGGATTTGACGTTAGATTCTCTATATTAATCGTAAGTTATTTTTCTCAATTTCTTTGTTGATGATGATGGCTTGGGTTTGTGTGAATGTTGATGTTGAATTCCATATGAGTAGCTAAATCCTTTAGCTAGGGTTAGGGGAAGATCGTTCCGGTTTGATTTCGTTTATATGCATGATAATTTCTCAATCCTTTCGAGTTGTGCTTAGCCTAGGGTTTTGATGATTGATCACCATCTTAATCTATTTAATCGATTTTAAAACTGAAAAGGGAGAAATTGTTCGATCTAGGCTCGTTAGGAATAAGCTTGTTCGTAATAGTATTGCTTATGTGTTGATTGTTTCAAGAATTGCTCGTTAATGCCTATCCTCTTGTTACGAAGAGTTATTGAGGATAGATCTCTAGATGAGTAGTTTAGTGATCGACCCTAATACCCTAACTCCTTTATCGTAAATTGAGTTTGAGTATTGAGTTGTGAACTCGTGATTCCTAGTTTTGTCTAGCCTTTTCAATTACTCGCTTTTCAATTAGTAGTCGATAAACAAACCTCCAAACTTGATTTAGAATGTTTAGGATTTTCACTTCTTTCATTTTCCATTTTTGTGTTTGAATAATCGTACAAAATAATCCGGCTGACCTTCCTCGAGATACACGACCCGGTGTCGAATCTTTTGATTCTACTCCGGTAAAAATAAACAACAACACTTTGTACTTAAGAACACACAAGACCTCGACAGGTCGTTAGGTGTATTGTCAGCGTACTCCGATTACCTCACCATCAAGGTGGTCACGTGACGCCAAGTTTCAGTCTTGTTCCCGAGTCACACTGATAGCTTGCTCACGATTTCATCGCAGACCGTGCGTCTCCATCAGAGACTAAGACACCGTACCACATACATACAACACGACACCATCATGCTCACAAGATACACGACTCAAGATGCTCATACTCTCATGATATCGACTCCATGAGTCGAACGCAACCCTTATGCACAAACATAAGGCTTGACCACAAGCAACACGACATTCCCAATT